CCAAACTAATACCTGGAAAATCCATTAAGACCTCAAGAGTATCATTATTTGTTATGTGAGCATACAGCCTGCAGACTTCAATTGGACTATTCCCATGAGTAAAATGACACACGTACAAGCTTGCCAGGTTAGTTTTAATATCATGGATAAGAGCCTACATCCTACCTCTATCACAAGCATTTTCCTGTCTACACTCCTATTTTCTGTTCCTTTAACATTTACTGAGTAGACAACATAAACATGTACCCAGTTATTAGAGCAATTCTGCACATTGAAATGTGTTAAAACTAAAACCACATATGCAAGTTTATCTTACGCTTTCATTAACGAAGCTTGCTGAACACATGAAGTCAATTTTTGTTAATACAAACCAAAATGACAATGTTATTGAAATTAAGCCATTGTTGAGATAAGGTAAAAATTACATCTGAAGTGCTTTGCTTACATTAGTGCAATGAGATGGAATTTGATGCAAGATACTACTTAGGATTTTTCCTACTGAAGAGACACACCATTCCACATGAGAGAAAGGACCAGGAAAGCAAGGAAAAAAACCTCCCTGGGTTCCTATTGTAAAAATCCACTGCACAAAATAAAAAAATAATAAATAAATAAACCCTGCTTTCGCAGGTCCCCAAGATCACTGCTTTAAGTAAAATAAATGCTTCTCAGTCTGCCAGCCTGCATTGTTGTGGGAGACCCTCTCTGCAAACTGCCATCCACTGCTTCAATTTCACTTTGTGAGTTGAATTTGCACACAAGTTATTTGATATCAATTCTTGTCCAAGCCATAGGAAATGTTCCTCCAAAGGTTTAACCTGTGACAAGCCTCCTCATTACTTCTGAGTCCAGAAAAAGGATGTGAACTCTTTTCTTTTCTTTACAGGCAGACATCAGATGTACTTTCTGGTAGATGGCCACTTTTTAAGGTAAGAGCTCATACCCCAGTGCTATGATTAGTTTGAGACACTTTACTGGTGCCATTGTGTGCCACAAACTTGTCTCCACACCCAGAGCCTGAGGGATGAATTCTCGTGTTACACACATTTTGACACCCTGGAAGATTTTAATAGGTTTACCAGGCACCAGCTGTGAGCCAATCTATCTTGCTGGCAGCCGCAAGTACCAGACTGCTTTATGCTTTCCTTTTCTTCGGTGTCCAGGTAATCTTTGTTTTTGGAACTTTTTGTGAATGTTAACAGCATCAATCATACATCAACAGCAGAGACATGTGGCAACAAGAGCACAGAGCTGCCAAAAGCAAAGAACTTCCCACCACAGAAATTCCTCTTACCAAGAAAGAAAAGGGAGAAAGAAGGATAGAAAGGGGGGGGAAAAAAACCCCAACCAAAACCCACAAACACACCCACACACTACAATCCCCCCAAACCGTGTAGCTGCCAGGGATCTGTTCCCTAATCAAGCCCTTTCACATTTCTGAGAATCCTCAACACTATCTTTGGACCTGGCAATTTCTCCTTTGTGCAGTTACTCTTAGTTGTGTGCAGAGATGGAAAAGTACTATTGTAGCCTTTTTATTTTGAAAAGGTTTTCTCTATTTAGAATGACTTTGCATTAAGAAATACTAAGGAGGAAAAACAAGCCACGTGCGAATGCTCCCAGACTGCTTTTCACCGTGCAATAACAGACAAGTGCTAAATCTGTTGCAATCCCTGCTAGAGGTATTTCCCTCCTACAGTATCTCCACTTCATGCTTGACTGAGAGGCACTAAAGTGGCTAAAAAACCTCACCCTTTAACTGATCTCAAACAGTTTGCAAATCACCTATCCCTGTATGAAGAGCAGCTTGCTTCTAAGACAGGGCTAGACACACAAAAACATAGGTAGTAACCTCCTCACTGATGGCCCATGGGTTAGAAACAAAAATCTGCCCATGCGAATTTTTTCACTGAAGACTGGACTAAGTTCAAAATAAGCATGCAACAGAAATGTAGGGAAAAGAAAAACAAAGACTGCAAAGATAATGCAAAAAAATGTAGCTTCAGCTATGGTTGACTCCATCTGTCAATCTAAAAATAAAGGAATAAGAAAAATAAGAGCAGAATTAGCTCACCAGATATGCAATGGAGACAAACTAACCGAAAGGAGGAAAAGATCTCTTTTCGCACTAAGCTGGGCTATCAACTTCAAAATGAGAAAAATCAGTGAAAAAGTGACTGGGATTTGTCCCTTTCAGCACGATTCAGTCTGTTCACAACACTTATTTTTAGGCTATGGAAAACCTCTCTTCAAAGACACTGCTGAGGTGGCAACAAGAAAAAAAAAAAAGGTTTTAGAAAACTCATTTCAGCATCAAGTAGGAAAGACTCCTTCAAAGTAGGTTAGATAGTGTCTCAGATTAAAACTCTTTTGTTTGATGGAAAGATTCAAGATGGCTTTTTTCAGGTAGTACGATTCTTGTAAGTTCCATTTATTTTAAATGTATTTATCTTACTGTGTTGCCATACTTCAAATTAAACGCACCTCTTCAATGTATTCAGAAATATATACACATCTATTCTCTTTGCTCATTATTTATGTCAGTGTGTATTTAAGGGCTGCTATAGAGACAAATACTTCTGTGAATCAAAGCATCAGCTTTTTTTTTTTTTAAAGAAAACCTATGTATAATATTTACCATGAAACTGCAAGTGTTGTAATGCAGAAATGCAGATTCTTGACAGGATCATGAACACCAAAGAGAGTTTTGGAGGAATACAATAACCTTTGCAGCAACCATGACTTGACTAGTAAAAGCCTGTTAAGTAGCCGTAAAATACTTCAAAGACAAATTAATAATGACTTCCCTGAATATTATTTTTGTATGACAATTCAGATCTTCTGCCAATCCTACTCATTCATGAAAACAATATATTTCTCTTTGTTAAAACATTTCAAGAGTTCTTTATTTATTGAATTAACTTAAAATACAGAAATCAAAAGTAGAGCCTAAGGTAATACAAAAAGCTATGTATGAACTTGTTTTGAAATATTTATTAAAATATTGATGTTCATATTTAAATCAATATTAAGCTCAAGCTCATTCCTCAAGTCTAATTTTAGACTTGTGCAAAATTCCAGTGACTGTATGCAAACATTTTCTTTTGTGACATCTTTATATCACCTATTTGCAGCTGATTTCACAATAAATAGTGAAGTTAATGTGTTGCCTGGTGGTATTAGGTGACTGAACACAATGGCGGGGAAAACCACCACAAATTAAATACAGTGCCAATTTACTCAATAACTCATTTAAGTTCAATGTATTAGGTCACATGTGTACGTCTCTACCGCTGCCCCCTTCTCTTCCTTCACAGTTAACATGCTGTTGTCATTAATACGTAGAGGTGTAATAGCACAAAGCTGAAGATATTTAGATACCACCCCACCCCCCCCAAGAAATAATGAATTTATTTTTCACTGAACAAATTCACCTGGAGAACTCTGTAATGGCCCCAAGACCCCCAGAGTCCCAGCAAGGAGATAGACCCAAGACATTTTGCAGAACACAGTGAGTTTGCCCTGGCTGTGCATGGAGTTTGCTGGGTATTAGGCAGCTCCAAGCCAAAGGTCTTTAGTCACGGTTGTGCATATCCCGGCTCCTCTGCATTTAAATGGGAAGAATAAGGTCCTACATTGCATACATTTTGCCCACAGTTTTCCACTTGCGCGTTTTCTTTTTTTTGTCATAATGGACAGCAGACAGCAAAGACTGATTTAGTCAAAATACTTGCTACAGCTCTATTTACACAGAGTTAGAAAAGGAAGTCTCAATCTTGAGAGCGGAGATGCATATCGGGTAGATAAAAGCTGCATTTATAAGCAGGGCTGACAATAGTCTACCATTTAGCAAGCAAGAGAAAATGGCAGAATTCAGCAGAGCCCAAGCCAATTAAGCATCATCACTTCTTTCCATCTGGCAGAGAGACTGCGAAACCACTTAATTAAGGAATTTGATCTCTCTGCCACATCTAAAATAATTCAAACTTTCAGCATTTTCAGCTGTTGCATTTTCAGCCTGTATAATGCAGCCACCCAAACAAACATAGGCTATGATGTGTCAGTTCAGTATTATACTGGTGTTGCTGTAGTGGGTGCACTTCGAGACTGAAATACAGGGATTGAGCCCTGAAAACTCTGCGCTGTATGGTCTGATGGGAATACGTGTATTTATGGTGAATTAGAACTGTGAATTATCTGAAATATGACCTAACCTTTTATTTAATCAGAGGCATAATACACATCACAAACATACGCAGCCATAGTTCTCTCTGAATACCTAATTTAGAGTTGGAGTCAATTCAAATAACTCAATTCAAATAGTTCTCCAGAATAGAATAGGAAATGTCTGGGGCGGGGGGGAAGTATGTAAAAATTAGTGCAAACAGTATCTAGTTTCTTTACTTTTAAACAATTCTATATATTTCAAAGTTGCCACGTAAAAATTACTAGCCAGTAGCCAAAAGAGATACTGCTGAGTGGCTACACGGCCACTTCTTACACAGAAACCTACTGGTGGTAAGTTATCTTTGTAGATGAGCAAAAGCTTCCTTATTTGGTGTCAACGTGTTTTGGGGTTTTGTTTTGTTCGTAATTTAGGGGCAGGGGGAAATGTAGGCTCTAAGATGCCCCTTCAGTTGAGTAACTTCTAAGTGAAATCAAAGCTGAGACTCAGAACTGCCCAGTGGCAGGTTAAAGACCGCAGCTGTAAAGCATTTCATCCTTTAAATTGAAACAGGAACCTCTTAACAAGAAGTAAGGTAGATTTTCAGGAGTGTTAAGTACATAAAAATGTTAGCAAACAGATATCTGAAATATGCATATTAATTTTGCTGTTAGCCATATGCTATAAAGCCACACTTAAAAAAACCTAACCCTTCCAGCTCAAAATATACCTGCCTTTCCAAATGAGACAGAAAAGAGGAGACAAGTGATCAATGGAGAACATTCTCCGTGATAACAGTCTGACTTTAGAAAGAATTTACCAAATATGGGTTTACCTTTACTTGGTGCTGATTTTCTCACAGAAGCTACATGGTCTTCAGAGATAGCCAGACGCCTTAGCACATCAGCCAACGCTGCTTTTAGCACAGTGATTTCATCTTCTTGTTGCTGTACTCTCAGCTCCAGGGCTGAAAGACGGTCCTGGACATCAGAGGTGCTTGCAGCCGAGATGCTGTCATCTGTGCAGCAGGAAAACAGAGAAGAAAGAGGTGTTTAACTGATTTGTTCTAAACTAAAAGCCACTGAAAGAAGCACGTACAGCATGAGTATGCCTGTCCTATCATTTTGAAAGACTGAAGATGTTCAAACAAACATGTTCAGGAGAAGAAGGAATGGATATTATGTTCAATGTATCAAATTAATGTTTCAAGACAGAAACATTACTAATCATTAGCTAAGACGGAAGGCTTAAGAAGTGTGGCCTTATTACAATCGAAAGAGGCAATGTGCTTTCTGTTAAAATAGTGTTGAAAGAAAAACATGCTTACCAGTAGAAGGAAGATTGAAATTAAGCTTATTTAAATAGCCAACTGAATTAACTGAAAACATATAAAACTGTAGTAACTTTTCACAATATATTCTTTTGGAACTGTTGAAGAATTTTAAATACGATCCTTAATTTTAAAGCAAGATGTAAAGTTTTAAAAAATATCCATAATCCAGTTGAACATGGAAATATTGCTAGCCATGATCTAATTGCATCAAGTGGCAATCTCTATTTACATGGTCTAGATCAGAGTTCTTAACTCCAATTCCTTCTCTTTAACTTTTTTTCACATCACCACCCTGCACGTGCCAAAAAAATATATGACATTATAACATTTGGCCTGAAGTGAACAGAAAATAAATACGCTACGAAGAGGTTCCAAAAATCTGTTTGGCCACACAGAGATAGACTAGCATTGAAGGCATAATCCAGCCAAATCTATTCTTCAGCGGTAAAAAGGAAATTACAGCTTCTGCATAGTCTTTGCCTTTGACAGTTCTTTGCATTATTTCTGCCAAGCCAAAATAACACATAACAGATTTTTGTGTTTGGCTGTTCCGATAAATCATAGGCCAACCAGTAAAAAAGACCTGTAAAAGAGTATGTTGCTCAATCGCAAGGTGCTGAATTCCTTATCCATACTGATTTAGGTTTACTAAAAACTCAGGAAGCAACTTCTAATATTGTCTGTATTACAGAGGTAACTTTTGTAAACCTGACAATATGAGTCCATATTCCATGAAATATATACAAACAGCAAATTCACACGTAAGGGTAAATAGCTGGATATTATTACTGCGACTATTACACAATCTAAACTTTAGTTCACTAATCCTATTGAGACATACCATTGGGAAAAAAAAGTTAATATAACCACAATCGTAAAACTCTTTTTCACTAAAAAAAGCCTTAATTTTGAAATACTTGCATAAGGGCACTCTTAAAATAAATGTAAGTAAAAGAAACACCGTGCCAAACACCTCCAAGGAATTAAATATGAAAGAAATTAAGGAGTTTAACACCAAGTTCCATTAAGTTAAAACATGATACTCACTACTGAAGGAGCAAGAATTGAACCAACCAAAATAAAGAATCACAATAACACTTTCACAACACTAACAAAATTCCTACAAGGAATTAGTAAAACAAACTAATATTAGTAGAGAAATATGTTCACTATTATTACTAAACTGAAAGGAATAGCTAAGATTACATTGATTAAACAACTCCTACAAGATGAGTTTTGCATATTGATTTAATTCACTATTTGGTTAAACCAAAGCAGAAGTGTATCATTTCATGGTTAATACTGTATATATTCAGGCTAATAAATAAAAAGAACTGTAGGGGAATTAACAAGGCAAGTAATCAGACTGGCATCTGAAGAGAGCAGATCAGAATAACTCTGAACAAAATGCCTTTAATATCACCAGCCATAACTGCTCCTCCTGTATGCAGAAAAGTTATTTTAACAACTCTACAACCCAGCATATCTGATGCTCTCTCAATAGTACTTTACAAATCCAGACCAGTGCCAGCTGCCCCAGCTTGGGAAGGGCGGTCTAAGATTCTTTTATTAAAACACTCATTTTCAAAACATAAAACCCCATCTGTTTTAAGGAGCTAACAGAAATTCCTACAAGCACATGTAGCTATACAGCATACAAAAAGGAACTAAGGTACTTTTACATTAATGCATGAAGAAAAGCTTTTACTTTAGGGAAGTAAATGGACTTCAAGTACCACCATATAATTCATATTTTTGCTATCGTTACAATATTAGCCTTTAAATATGTGCAGTGGACCAGACAAATTGAACACTGCAGAAAACAATGACAACTATTTTAAAAATATTATGATCTTTATAAGTCATCTTACACTGGGCAGCAGTCCAAACAGAAGAGAGAAGTTTGACATTTCCTTTAAAAAAAAAAAAAAAAAAGAAAGAAAAAAACAGGAAAGCTTAATTTTTTTCTTTTTTGTCTGCCAAAGCCTTCAATTAATGAACTATTAAAAGATTTTATAATAGCTAAAATATGGGTAAATTCCCAGGCCATATAAATATACAGCAAATTACTATAAAACATTTGTAAAAGGAGTAAGCAGCTATGTCAAATCACCATTTTAGAAGCCAGACTTTACTGTCTTCCCTGTGTAGAGTCCAAATAATAGTCATTACCAAACCACGAAAGGCTCCACTGTTGGTTGGTCTCTCCGACGTTCACACGCACAAGTGCTCTGCCAGAGCGCCGGCTGCCTGACATGGGCATCTTTTTTCCCCACTAACTACTAACATTGACTAGACTGCTTCTGCCGAACCCCAGCACCCCAATAAAGGGACACATTAGATGGCTCCTGCACCCCCCAAAGTCAGTTATGTCACTAATTAGAAACTTCAAAGGGAAACAGAAGAGAAAATCTTTCTGCCCTGTAAGGGTGAGCTGCAATGCTTTGACCTCTCAACATATCAAATGAGATGGTAGATGAGTTGGCCATCATTCAGCTCCGTGACCTGTGCTATGGAGGTTTAGCACCTAGATGTGGTATGGAGAGGCAGAAGGACCCTCCAACCCAACTTCATCGCAAGAGCTTGTCAGAGGTCATAGCTGTATAAATGGAGCATGAGTAGGAAACCAAGGTTAACCCATGTAGCCTATTCAAAAATAGGTAAAGCTATGGGGCTGTGCGCATACAATGGGAGAACAGAGGTTTCAAACCACCAGCGGCTGCTTTGCATTGCCAAGAGGGCACATGAGAGTGACTGAAAGGAGAAGTTGGACAGTAAGAAGATCACTATGAAATCAAGAATGTTTTAGTTGATCAAAGAATACAGTAGCACACTGGGATGACATTTTATTATTCTTTATCATTCTACAGAAGCAGCATCTGTTTCAAGTGATGACAATCATATATTACACTGACAACTATTAGAGAATTAAAATGAATGATTCCCAACCCAAATACCTCACCCATGACAGCAAATATTCAACTGAACTCCAACATGCCCTTCTTGGCAGTGTCTTGAAAAGTCAGTCAACTAGGGATTAGCTTAAAAGAAGATGCCTTGAAAGTAAACACAACTGCAATCCTTGAGATCATTTTGACAAATCTGCACAATGCAAAACTATACTTTTTTTGCGATAGAAGTTTTCAAAATCTCATCCAGACTTCTTTTTCATGAAAAATACATTCTTGTATCTAAATCTAAAGATTCTACTAATCTAAAGAACTACTTCAAAAGAAATTTAAACAAAAAGCTTCCTTCAAGGGCATGCCCTTACCCCTTCAGAGTGGAAAGAGCTCTTATGCAAGTATAAAGTCAGTCACTTATGAATGTCCACTTATGAACAGTCCACCTCCTCCCTTCCTTTTCTCCCACTCCTAAACATCTGGCCTTTCCCTTGTGCTGTCTCAGACATCTATCCAGGCCTTCCATGAGCCACTCTTAATTTACTAAACCAGAGGGAGATTTATTTATTTATTTAAAGAGAAAATAGATTCTGGAATATAGCAAGAAATTTGCAACTGCAATTGACTATTGATTCACTCAATTAATTTAAAGACCCTTTTAGTCATCTGGTTATTTCTACTGTAACAAAACAGCATCCTTTCTGATGTGTTGGTCACATTTCTCAAGCTGTCCATGACCTATGCCTTCAAGGTAGCCACTGGGAACAAAATTTGTTGCAAAAAAAAGCACGATCTGCAGTGCCTGCTGGTAGTAGTGAGAAAACATCCATACAGATGTGGACCTAAGGTCCTTCAGTCTTGAAAAGTGGTTTATGATAAGAGTACCGGTACTCAAAACGACAGCAAAAAAACGCTAGGGCTAAACATAACAAGACATCTTATTTTGAAAGTTGCATTATTGTTATTTTATCATAGTTCACTAGCTTGATTTTTAATTTTAGCCATTAAGACACCAATTCTTCCCCTATTTTTGGAGTAAGCAGGGATGTATATGAGATGCTTGTATTCAGTAGTCATGAGACATCTGGATGACCCTAAAAATTAAGGTTCATTTTTCATAGCCAATGAACAGCATTAAACAGATGCATTACAGTGCGTGGGACTCCTCACAGCCATATGCATCAAACTGCTCCCAGCGGCTCAAACTGCCCCTTAGACGTTGGCCAGGAACTTCGAAAGGGGCAGCCAGCACGTAGTGATGGATGGCACTTAACAAACCTCCCAACCCACGTATCACTCCTCTCCTCACATGTCACCAACCAGGCACGTGAGGATAACAGCATTTGAAAAGTATCACCCTTCATCACTCACTGCCTAGAAGAAATGTGAACTGACTACATTTGAAAAAAATATATCTTACTACTGAACCGTCTATTTTGGGGCCCCTCAACAATTCCAGAGCATCCATTGTCACTTCTCTGAGTCAATTCCTGCCAGCCCTGGCTAAACATAAGGGCTTGATTTTAGACATAAGCAACATTTCAGAAAAACAAATTCTACAAACTCCAGCACACGGAAATTTAAACCACAGGGTGGAAAATCCTACATTTTATCCAATAAAGCCACACAAACCACAGATATTTTTAAACCCTTGTCTGCCAAGGCACCCACACAGTTTTCTGTGTTTTCCCCAGAGTGGTACGAGTCTTTTATTACAGAAAAGCAACACAAATTACTTGGACTGGTATAAAGATCTGGCTGACAATTTCAGGAGATAACTGGCCCAAAAGAACCCTTTCTCACTAGGACTATGATGTGTCCATGTGTGCAGGAAGGTACACATTTGCACGGCTTGTAATTTTTATTCTGAAGAGCAGTGAATAATTGGACTCTGGATGAGGTTTATATTTCCAGAGAGAGATAACTGACAAATTTGGTTTTCCTACCATGTTAAGTGAAAGCAAATGCTCTGCAGTTTTCTGCAGCTCACTTGTCTTAAGACTAGCCTATAAAAGGTGCAAAGATCAGGAATTCTGTTCCATATCTCTAACACATAATTCTCTAAATTAAAAAAAAAAAAAACCAAAAAAACCCAAAAAACCAAGAGAATTAGACTCCCAATTTGCCCAGTATCTCCTTCACCTCCTCCACATGCCAGCACACACACAAATTATATCAGTTTTGTAAAGGACATGAGTCATGGAAGGAACATGAGAACAGGAATTAAAAGTTACAACATGAACATGGAAGATTAAAAAAGCTTCCTCCCCCTCTGCAAATGATGCTGTATTAAGTTTTAATGTGCTCCTAGAAGCTAGACCTGGTGGCATGGAAATGGAGCATCAAGTTCTACCCAAGTTCTCCTTCCCTGCACATGCAAGGCTCTGGCCTTTAATGCTCTCAATTACCTCATGTATCTTTGACTTCCTTTGCTACTTTTTTCCCTAATCTCCCAATTTTTCCATTCACAATTAAAAAAGAATGCACTGCTTGATCTCACATTTATTACTGGAGACAAAAGCATAAGCTCTTTCTTTACGTTCTTGTAGAACAATAATGCACATGTTTTGAGATGGGTACAGTTAAGTCATTGACTGGAGACAGTCCCCAACTCATGGCTCTCTCATGTGGCATATCAGCACTTCCAACACTCGCTAAACCTTACATTTTTCTCTTCCACAGACATTTCTTCAGGTTTTCAGGAAGAATGCACATTGTCACACATTACTCATTTGCTCAGGGCTGATGCTGCACGAGGACCATGACGTTGACAAAACTGTCTTCCTTGAACAGCTCCTGAGATTGTTTGACATTTCATAGTTCAATCTTATTTTAGTCCCCTATGAGCTAATTAATAAAAAAGGATGTATTATTCTCCACTAGCCTTTCACAAACCATTTTGAACACAAGTCCACAGCAGGCAGTAAGTTTCTTTGCACAAATCCTACTGCGGAATCAGACCATAAGAGTGCAATGTCTAGTGGATAGTGCCTTAAACATCAAAAGCGATCATCCCAATGGCTCATCTGCATTTTTCATCATAAACCATGGAAAAAAATGGAAAAGGAATGAGTATTATTCACTTTAAAATACAGCAGTGCAATCCACCACGTTAAGTGATGGATACTGAATTTGGCCATAAAAAACCCAAAACAACCTAGCCCCCCCCCCCCAAAAAAAAACCCACAACAACAAATAAAAACCAACCCACCAATCCTCACTGAAGTCTGAAAATCTAGATTGTGTCTAAAAATCTCAGTGATAATTCTGAAAGGAATATAACTTATGCTGTTAAGAATTTATGCATGACTTGAATAAATGTAAACTGGTCCAACTGGCCCATCTGGAGTAGATCTATACAGATCTGTATATTTCTGTATAGGTAATCATATACCCCAAAACTCAATTTACAAAAAGAAAAAGGGGGGGAGGGCATAAACTATAAATTTAAATCATTATAGTATTGCATTAAATTTTAAAAGAACAGCAAAAATACGTAACTTTATTGGACAAAGCTTTCTTAGGCCTTTCAATTAAGCAAGACATACATTCATTACACTACCACAGTATTTTGTCTGTAGATGATCCATGAGACAATTTTACTGTAGTACATGAAAATTCTGCAATGCAATAGTTGCTACTGATCTTTGCTATTTGTGAACTGCTTTACGGTTTATTTGAAGCAAGTTAGTTCATGTCTGTGAGCATACTACTGCACCATTATAAAGAACATCAACATCACCTGTGTTTTCAAGCAATCTCATTTTAAAGGGTTGGTCTGACACCTAAGATGATCTACCACTTAATCCCTAATAATTAGTAGCTCTATTTGTATATGCTAGACAGATTTGTGCACATAGGCTTTGCAATTTTTTTTTTTTTTGCCTGACATGAAAAAGCAAGGGAAGGAGAAAGATTAAAAGACAATACAAAAACATCCTGAAAAATAACTTTGTAATAATCAGTTACAGCAGTTATGATAAAAATATTTTTGTAATAAGCCTGTGCATCTGCTGCTGTAAATAGTCGTATTATTTTTAATACGGATAATCTAGAAATACATCAGCATGAGATTCACAGGGCACAACTCCACCCATGCTGTATTTGACCAACACAAGTGTTCCACTTGCCTAAGTTTCCAGTAACTGTATTATTCATTTGGCACACAAGTTTTAAGAAGAAACAGATCAGACTTTATATTTGCCAATACTAGTTTTGATATGTAGATCGAGAAAACAAAACAAAGCCAACACTTACACGCGCTTCCCATAGTTGACACTGGTATCCACATAATTACAAGGAAGAGGCAGGTAATTATGCTGGCGTGCTCATGTATCCTTCCCCAACTGCGTACTTTGTA